CACACACACACACACACACACACACACACACTCACAGACAGCAGTGTTCTGTGGATGAACTTCTTCGTTCACAGCAGCTTCTTCCTGAACACCTCAGAGTGAAAGGACATTTTTAATTTTCTCATTATTTGTCCCTCCCTGGTGCGTTCACTGCCCAGTCGTCTAATGTCTCTTCAGTCTTCAGATCAAAGCTGAGCTGCAGGACTGGGACAAAGTACTTTTATTCATAAAGTACTCCATAGACTGATGTCAATCCATCTGCTCCTGCCGAGTCGGCACTTTCCCTCCTTTACCTCTCCATTTGCCTCAGTGTGTGTGTGTGTCCATATGTCTGTGTGTGTGTGTAATTGCAGCGGTGAAGTCAGGTGACCAGCTGCCACACATCTCCATCAACCTCCATCAAACTTGAGTTCCTGCAGCAAAACTTCAAAGGTTTATTAAAAAAAACTGTCTCTGAGACTTTTAACTTTTTTCCCCCTAAAATCCACTTTGCAAAAACTCACATCTGAGCTGTTATTTGTTAATTTTGTTGGAATTAATTTTACAGTTTTAAACATTCACTGAAGCCAAAAATCACCTGGTAAGAAGTTAAAGTATTCAGGCTAAGCACCAGCTGTAGAATTTTAATTATTTTTCTTAACAATGTCAAATTTATGGCATACATTACATGATTTCTTATATTTTAATTAAATTCAGAACATTTCTTCTCAGTGGAAACAGGAGTGTTTCCCAAAACTTTAAGGCTGCACTCACACTATGCCTGTTGTACCAGTGACAGGAGACTGTTGGGGGGGGGGGGGGGGGGGGGGTGACTAAGGGGTGGGTTAAATGAAAGTCATTCATTTAATTTTATTATTACTTTTTATTTTATGGTCCAATGAGTCTTAAACAGGCCACTGCAATCTCTGTTATTAACAGACAACACTGAAACAGTATTTCAGCACAACGGACAGCGACACTTGGTCAACCACTGCTGACCCTGCTGGTTTAGTTGGTTTAAAAAGTTAAGGTTGTCCAAATATTTTCTTGTTTCAACTTCTTTGTTTCAGATTTTGAGCTAATGCAACAAAGCAAGGCTCAAGGTTCTAGGTTCATAGAGAAATGATCACTGATCAACAAAATGTCCTGACTGTCATATTATCACAAACCAACAAAAACTGTAGCAAAGTGGGAACTGTTATTGAGGACGGGGAGGACGGGGACGGGGACGGGGCGGGGGGTCATGTTAAATCAACCTGATCTGTATTTATGTTTGCAGCTGGTTGTACAGTATATATCAGTGTATAACTGATCAGAGCTTCATGAGCAGCTCTCCTCCTCCACCCTGCTGCAGGAGTCCACAGTCAGTGGAGGCTGACGCAAGCAGGAGGTTTGGACAAGAAAGGCAGAGAGTATGGAAATGAGAGGGTGATATCTCTGTCTCTGACGCCTCCTTCAGCTAGGCCACATGGAGGAGACACGGTTTTCAGGCTGCGTTTTTTTTTTTTACACCTTCAAATACTACAGTACACTGTGTAGATGAATCTGTATTCATCTACACAGTGTACTGTATCTTTTCATCAGACAGTTGAGGTGTCAGTCCTTCACATTTACTCACTCCGAGTCACCACGTACTTTATTTTGAAGGTTGTTGAACTGAAGAGAGAGTCAAAAATAACCAGGCAACTATTCATGACGTTGTATCAGTACAGTGGACAGAGATACGAGCTCCTCCAAGTCTGCAACTATTGCAAGATTTTGCTCCTGATACGAGGAAACATCTAGTTACGAGTGATCAACCAGCTCCATTTTTCCACCGAAAATTTGAAAATCTTTATATAACCCTGCTCCCACCTTAGTGGCCCTGACACTCTGTGGCGCTGTCTCCCTCACTGTCCCTCACTGGGTTATTTTACCAATTTTTATAGCAATATATAAAATGTTTTCTTAATTCTTATGTCTATGTCTATGTTTTTGATGTTTAAATGGGGGGTTCATTTAATTAATTAATAGTATATTTCTGGGAGGTGGAATAAATTCATTGGTTTTTAATAAGGGTTCATTTAAAATGTAATACGAGTGTGACATACGAGTGCTGTTGTAAAACTCGTATCTCTGGGATCCACTGTTTATCGTATCGTAGCCCTGTATCCTCATATACATGGTATCACCAAGAAACATTTCTAAATACGACAAGAACTTTTATAACTATTATTATAACTAGAAGAGCCACAGCACGTAATCTCTCTCTCTCTCTCTCTCAGTCTTTTCATCATCTCACTCTCATTCTCTCCACTCCTTCTCTCTCACCAACTCTGAATATTTCATGATTTGGTGGCACAGCACTGAGGTGAGGAGCCTTCCTCTGTCTGGAGCTGGCACAGCACAAATATTTACTCTCCGAGTCGAGTCGAGCTGAATGTTGAAGAGAAGTGTGTGTGTAAGTGTGTGTGTGTGTCTTACAACAGTGATTACATGTGACAGAGGCCCCGGGGGGGCAAAGGACGGTCTTGGGTTTCATCCTACTTTGATGTCACGGCCCAATGGGATCACTAGCTGTAGACTAACAGTCAAATGGACGGACGTGGGGACACAGGAGGTGAAGTGGAGCTGAACAGAGAGTGAACGATGTCACTGTGACAGCACTTGGACAAATGTCTGTTCTGTTTGGGCTGGTGAGAATGGAGCTGAATTGGAGGTCTGGAGGAACATGAAAAGACGATTAAGGGCTCACGTGAATCTTTGAGGCTCCGGCCTGACAGCCAGCATTTAGTGAAGGAGGGAGTGGAGGAAAGAGCAGAGTCTGAAGAAAAGAAAGAAAAAAAAGAGGAGGAGGAGGAGGAGGGCAATAAATTACTTCACATTATTCGCACAGTCTGGTGAGAACACAGTGTAAAACCCAGACTGGAGCAACTGCCTTGTTAATCTCAATTTGGAGAGCGAGCAGAAATCATGATTCATTTCTCCTCTCGTTCATCCATCATTCAGTTAGAAACGTTGACCTCCCAGTACACTGAATTTTTCAAAGCTCAAGGAAAAAAACCCTACGTTTCCACTGTGAAAATTCACTTGTGATTAAACTCAAAAGTCCAAAAAGTCAAAAAGTCCTTAACAGTAAAAAACATCAATGAAGACTCAATCATTTCTTTATCTGAACCACAGAGAAAAAACTAACTTTCTTTCCTTTGTTTAATTAGAATATAAGTTTAGTAATTACAGTCAATCGTGTGCTGTAGTGTAGTGGTTATCACACCTGCCTTACACAGGGAAGGTCCTGGATTTGAGCCCCGGTGGATTTATGTGCAGTATTTAATCTTCTTCATATAAGTCGTTTTGGATAAAAGGGTCGGCAAAATGCTTAAATGTCTAAATAAAACAAATCTACAAAAAGGGGGCGCTGCAGAGTACACTCAGGAACCATTGCCTTCTGATCTCCATTATCTACATTTTTACCTTTACCTGGCATCATTTCCTCTGACTCCAGCTGTGCAGCGACTTGATGGATCAAGGAAATGAAATGATTGACAAGGACAAGGAGAAGGAGAGAAGAAAAGAAAGCTGTACAGAGAGGAGAGGAGGATACAGAGGAGGACGGAGAAAGAGTCATCTACAGAGAGAACAGCCACCCTTCTGCCTCCCACCGTGTCACCCACTTCACAATAAGTGCCGCGCTGCCTCAGTGTCACCTTCGGTGTGTCTCCTAAACCCCTTGAAACCAGGCCGGCGTTACACTTGTCCAGTCAGCACGGTGACAACTGACTCATGCTAATTGGAGAAGCACCTGCAGTGGACATGTTCTCACAGAGAACCGATGCTGCACAAATTAGAACAGGTGATGGTGTGACTGTGGCTCAATCGTGGCACCGAGCAGTTGATGTGTCTTTCAATTAACTTTGAATGAAACGTTTCTCATCCAGTAGGTCGGGACCCCGAGTCGGTACAACTGTACGACTGGGTCTGTCTGTGGTTTTTATTATTTACTGCTGGTCTGCCTCTGTATCTGTCCACACTGCAGCACTGTTTGTAGAAAGGATGACATTTTCCCAGGGTGCCCAGCGTTACCCATTCTAATATACTAGCTCATGTCATCCATCATATTGATCTTATTTACACGACAGCGTGTCAAGTCCATCTTTACACACTCAGGTGTTTACACGTCGCCTCTGTGCTGCCAGCGTCGTCTCTGAGGGCAGTGAAGAAGTTCAACGTACGGTGCAAATTATTGCTCAGTTATTAGGTGTTCTACGGTCATTAAAAACAAAACACATAAAGAGGAGCTGTGCGCCCAACGTCAACAAACAGGAAATGCAATTATAATCAAGCACTTGAACAGTTCGATCCCCTGTGGCAGGAGTCGCAAACTCTAAATGAACGCTGCTGCAGCTGCCGTTTCATTGGAGGGACATATTAGTGCTTTACAGTCAATATAAAAAACAATAGAACCAAAAACATTGTCTAATGTTATAGAGCAAACAGCTAGTGTACCCTCCCATTCTTAAAGTAAATAACCAACTAAACATTTAAATAAATTAAGAGAAAAACTTTGGATTATTATTGTCCTCTTAATAAATTTGATGTGTTTCGCAGGCCTCAAAGTCCCCGGGCCATGAGTTTGTCCCTTCTGTATGGACTTTTCACATTCTCTCTTCACACAGTCCAAAACTGCTCAGTCTAAATTGATCTGTCCTGGATATACCCCACCGTTGACCAATGCCTATCTGGATCGACCCTTCAACCCAAGGTGTTGATGGTGTACATATTCAAGGCTGTCCGTTTTATCAGTGCTGATAAACGTTGGTGTGTGTGAAGGAAGCTGTGAGATGACTTCCTGTATAACTTTAGGGATGCACAAACTCCACCACGGCTGCCTGAGTATGAATTATAAATACAGAAGTACTTAAGTGCTGACATAAACTGTGATGAATTGTCTATTGAATATCCCATTTGCAGCCTTTAAAAGTCACTAGAAGGACTCCTATGTTCCTAAAATACCTGTGAAAACGGTTTTAATTTAACGGAGTGTAACCCATTTTAATAACGTCCTCTGTAAGGGTTTCATAACCTTAAAACTCCAACATAGTGGTACAAAAAAACCCAACAGTTATATCCTCCCCTGCTTCACTGGCTTTGTCTGATTTCTATTCATTTTTCCTCCTTTGGGAAGAGAATCTATTATCTGTGCTTTTCCTCCAGTCTGCAAGCATCGACTCGGACAAGGTTTAAAGTTTAAAAGAAGTAAAGTCAAAGTAAAATCAAGAGAACTCTGGGAAGGAACGTTTGATTTTCACCCAGTTTGATGGAAGTGGTTCCCGTCGTCTTGTACTTTAGTGTTTTAAGGAATTTTTGTTCGCTAAATAAATAAATATTAAATACCAAAACCGTGTCCTACCTTTAGATTAACTGCTGACGGTTGGTGTCGCTGCAAAACCTTTAAACCGCGGTGTCCATTCATTTCTTCACTTCCGGCTGAAGTTCCAGGTAGTAACTTGAAGTATAGTTCCCGGGCCTCTCTGTTGATAATTCGTCTTAAACCCAGCGCCACCAAGTGGAGACGAGCCAGTGTTTCCCGAAAAAACAGAAACATTGTTAAAAAAAACATGGGTGACCGCAAAATCCCATACGACTGACGACTGGGTTAAATTTTCAGATGCTAATGCTAGCGACAAGTGTGTAGTAGCTGTTGTTGGCGCCGACCGTAAAGGATGCGCGCAACTTCACCCGATGACGACATCTACGCAGACCCAGGCATTGGTCAAAGTGCTGACCAATCACAGCGTAGGACCAGCAAGTTTGGTTGATTTCGAGCTTGGGTTTTGTTTGGGTTGTCGGTGCAGCTCTGAGTAATCAGTAGTGTTGTAGTTATTAGTTTGTTCCCTTCAAGAAAAATATTCGCAGCATTTTTACCTTAATAGTATATAAATCTGAAGATGTACTTCATGTCTTTTAATCTAACCTGTACGTTAAAGTACACAACAGAGAACCACTTGCTTTATGATACACTGTCACATAAACCCGTTTTCATTAACCACAGTAGTAAAATGTAGTAAATGTGAATCTGAGTGGATATTAATGACAAACATAAAACTAATTTGTTTAATTAGTTATTTCACTGTCATGTACATCTGCTGTAAATACTCTGTATCAGTGAACTGTATTTGATAAATCAGCCCAAGACATCAATAATTCATCATTACTTAGTTACACTGAGAGCTGCTCTTGGCCAACACTCTCTTTTCTTTTTTGCAGTTAACAGAAAAGAGTGATGTGTGTGGTGATCATTTAAAGACAACACGTACATTAGGGTTGTACTAAATCCAGAAATATGCACTGGCTCAAAGAAAAAAGTGCTGTCGATGAGCTTACAGTTATCAAAGGGTGTTGAATTAATACCCTTAAGATGACATAAAGTACATCACAATGTCCTTTAGTTTAGTTTCCATGTTCTACTGTGTGTAATACATTTATTACATGTATAATATATGTATTATGTATATATACAGTATGTGTGCAAATATATAAATACATACATATATTATATACTGTATATATTACATACAGTAGAATATGGAAACTAAACTGTTTACTTCAAATATATATGGAGTGAACGGTTTAATCCACATCTGCATGTTTTTGAACAAAGTAGAACATGGAAACTCGGAACAGAAAACCCATAAGTTCAGTACTGTTCTTGTTCATGTTCTTAGTACAAAGTACTACTAAGAGTGTTGTAGAATACCAACTACCAGTCTGAATTTAACTGATTTCTCACTTTCTGGTTGTGTTTGCACCCTTACATCGACTGCACCTCCTCCCTCCTCCCCCCTGCTTCCTTATTGTCAATGACTGGTGTGTTAATGATTACATCTGGCTGTGGCACAAATTAATTCCTGCCTCTCTGGCAAAAAGCTGTTCTCCACCTGATTATGCAAAGCAGGCCTACATACTCGGCTTTTGAAGTGGAGGGGGAAGCTGTTTAGAGATTCACCCCTGGAGGAAACTCTGCAGCAGGGGGAACATCAATAAAACTGAGTTCACACAAAGGTCAGCAACCTGGCAAACTAGCGCCGCGGTCATACAACTCACCGCATTTCAGAAGTGTTAGAGCGGGGCTGTTTGTGTAATGATGCACATACTTCAGACTGGGAGTGGAGCAAAAGTAGGACAGACGGTAAAAATAGCCAAATAAATGCAACCGATTAGAAGAGTTTCCATGGCCAGGCGGAGATGTTGACTCTTTCAGTGTTCCTATTTCAGCAGTCAAAGCTGTGATGGTACGTTGGACAGGCTCACTCAGAGACCTCTGACTTCTTTATTTGCAAGACGGAACGGTGAATTTATTTTGTACTTATTTAGTCTGTTATGACCATAAAGTTCATTATGAAAAACCAAATGGATGAGATGGTGTGCCTTACTGTCTCCAGTTCCTTCCAAACTACTGTGTTTCTGCTCTGAGCTATCACAGTCAGACTGTCTCTCCACTGCTTCCGCTCCTCTCTCAGGCATGACGGTATAGGTAATGAGCCTCTAAAAGAGACGCCACGGTTCATCAGTCATGCTGGACAGACCCAGGTATGATGAAGCATTCATTCCACAGGAACTTTAGGCTGTAATAAAGCTGAAATAGATCACATTTATGTTCATCATTAGTGTGAGACGCAATTAAAATGTTTAAAAAAGTGGCTTTGGGAATAATTAACTGCAATTCTTCACATTTCTGTCAATAGCAACATTTGATGTAAACAAAGGCAAAAAAGTTCATATTTATCTGTCTGCTCCATTCACAGTTAGAACAAACTCACAGTACAACTACGACTATTACATATTCAACATTAGTACCAGGACTGTTGTAGCTAACGTTAGCTCTGGTGTCTATGCTCACAGAAACATGTTTCATGATGAGTTGATACCATACACTTGGGAATGAAACATTCGGCTGAAGTGTGTGCTTTTGTTTTAAAGCTCACTTTCTGTTGAAAGGGCAGAAAGTTTAATCTTTAATTTTTTAAATAATTTTTCTTTACTTTATCCCTTGTTTAATTGATATATATGTTCTAATGTGATAACAGTGTACGTTTGAAAATTATACATACATATTTCTGAGCAGAAATAGTCTCTTAATGAAGCAGAGCAAAAAACTGTAAATATTATCCTGCTTGGTGTCCTCACTGTGGTTAGGGTTGAGCTCTCTCTCTGTCTCTCGCTCATACACACTCTCTCACACACACACTGCACACCACCTTGTTACCCACAGAGCTGTGACACCTACAGTATATATCACTGCCTTCCAGTTCATTGCATATTTATTGAAACTCAACCTAAAGAAGTATCAGTGACAATACTCTGTATCTGCAATCACACAAATGAAAACAATCCTATTGGTTTGTATAAATGGTACCAGTACCGACCCCAGTACCAGCTGTTTATCGCAGCAGTCTTGAATCCTCCTGTCGTACATCAGTCTTCTGTTAAACTTGAATTGTCTCCCTCAGCCTCAGGCGACTGAACTCCCCCACCTTGACTTTCTCTCCTCTCTGAACATCCTCACCCCTTCATCACCTCCCCCTCATTCACACACTAACACAGAGTCTCATTTCACATGACTTTCATTCCTCCTCTCCCCAGTGCCATCTCCAGGTTCCATGTCCTCATGCTCCTACACTCATCACAGATTAAAATGTCATCTCCCACCGTCGTGCTCCACAGCGCCTCCTGTCTAACCTCATGTGTCAACCTGTCTATAGGTACCGAAAACAAGGAGGGGCTGGGGGCTGATCCCTGAACTCATCTGCCACTCTGACTGCACGTCTTCCCTGTCCTTGTGCCCGTCCTGCACCAAGTTGTGCACCGTCAGTCCTGACTCACTCTTACAGAACAACAGTTCTTATTTTGGTTTGCTTTCTCCCTGAAACACAAAGTTAAAAAAAAACATTTTGACTTTCCCTGTACTTTTCTACACTAAAGGAAAATGTCCTTAATTTATATGCAATTCTTTTCGGGAGAATTTCCGCAGAGAAATTCTGACTTCACTCACATCACAACAGACAGTGTAATTCATGATTCTAAACAGCAGGAGGATCAGTGTCCCCTCAGTATCTGTCACACTGGGCTACACACCAGCACCAGTCCCCGTCCCTTTATCTTGATGACACTGACTAGACTATGATCCACTAGGGAACACCGGTGGGACGACTGAGTTGACTAAGTTGTCTCTTTAGATTCAGTTCATTCAAAGTGAAAGCTGGCAGAGGGAGCAGCAGAGATGAAGAGCCGTGTGGAGGAACTGTGAACATTCATCATTGTTACTGCTCTCACATTTCATGGTCGTTAAACTGATGTCTCCAACAGAAACATTAGCCTGCTGTTACACTAACAATTACATGACTATTATTACAACTTCACATTGAAAATACTTCATCTATTACAGCTGGACTGATGACAGAGAACACAGCATCATAACAGCAAAACAAATAATGGCATTGTCCTCTTAAACCTAAGATCAGGTGTGACATCTTTTTCTTCAACAGTGCAGCTCGCTAGAGAAACCAGGCTTCTGTTCAATGGCCATGGTGTTTAAAACTAACTGAGGCAAAAACACCCACCACTCTACCCCAGTGCGGCCTGTTAAAAAAACAACATAGCCCAAATTTGTTTTCCTTCGTGGCAGTGAAATTGAAGATTTAAAAAGGTACTGCAATATTGACTGAAGTCAAGTGGTGATCAAATTTTAATGAGTAAAAGCCCATTTGCTGCCTCATACATGCAAGATGAAAATCATTGACGTTTCTCATATTTTCAAGTTTCTCTGCTACTTTTAGACATTCAGATGCTTTTTAAAAAGGGTGCTTTTAGAAGGAACTTTGAATACTGGAACTGAGGCTGTTGACCAGTAGGTGGACTTGGTTGTTTTTGACCAAAAGTTCAAAGGTGCGATTACTAGGACGACTGGTCAACTTGTCATTAAGTCCAAAGATTAAAGTGACTTCATTAAAAACATTAGCGATAGCAGCATTTGGCCGTTCAGGACGGATAAACCAATCCAAACAAAATGTCACAAAAACCTGTGCCTGTGCCTGCTAAATGACCTGGTGGGTCAATGGTCACACCAAAGGTTTGGGTCCTTTTCAAAAACTGTCATTTGAATTTAGTCCTTATTACTGATTTAAATGTGACAGTCCTGGTTATCAGTATAAATGCTAATACTACACTTTGTTTAAAGTCTACCAGGTATGCTTAGTTAAGTACCAAACTGAAGTAGTATGAATACAATGTAGTACTTTAAGTCTGAAAAACCCAAACACGCTCAAAAGACAATGTTTCATTTTTCAAACATCATTTTATGCAACGCTACCTTCTTCTTCTAATCCGAGACAAAAACATCGGTCCCCAGGTTTTGCCCGGTTGAGGAACAACCAGGATCCCCAGTCTGTGGTCAGCATGTTTCTTCATCGGCTTTGGACGATTGTGGGAGGGGTCTCCATTTGTGTAAGAACTGGGGGCAAAAGCAAACTGTTGAGAGAAAGGAACAGCGATTTCCTCCCACAGGTCTTCAGGTTCAGCCTCAGGACACGCCCTCAGAACCGTCTCCACCACGTCATGGTTTTCAGCTCTGGACAGTGTGCAAGTGGAGTAGACTACGAGTCCTCCTGGCCGCTCCACGGCAACCCTGTTCCTGCACATATATTCATATGTCACAAATAATTCATTTTGGTTTGTTTATTTTTAATATTCTTACTTTATCTGAACCAAAATTAAGTAAACATAATTTCTTTCGTATTTGTTTGACAATGCCTATGCTATGAACTGGACTTACTTCAGCAGCTGAGCCTGGAGTGCAGGTAGCCTGGCCTTTTCCTTCAGTCTTTGCTCCCCCTGCGGGCTGCTGCAAGAATACAGCCAGCTCCTGTCATTGGAACACGGGGCATCGACTAAAACCTTGCAAAAGAGAAATGTATTTATTTAATCAAATAACATTTTGACATCGTGGAAAAAAGGCTAAATATAAGGCTGTATGTATGTGTGTGTGTATATATATATATATATATATTCATTGATTTCAGTTTCATTAGTTTGATTTTTGAAATGATTCTATTGAACCACAATTCAAAATCAGTGTCAGTGGTTTCTCCTCCACATCCATCCACAGTTTCCATCAACAGGTTCATTCTTTGCTCACCTTGTCGTACGTTACCGCTTCATTCTGCCCAGCACATCGTCCGTCCCTGGAAGACACAATGACTCTGCTCCTGAGTGCGTGGGGCAGAAAGGACTCCAGAGTTTTGACCAGCCAGTCCCGTCTGTGAGGATCTGGCTCGTTACAACACAGAAGAGCTGAGACCGAAATGTTCACATTGTTTATTTTCAAGTTGTCGCTGCTCACTACAGATGTCATCACTGGTCGTTCATGACACTCACCTGGGGTGGCACACTGCATTATGGCCACTGCTTTGCCCCCAGGAGCAGAGCAAAGATCCAGAACTTTCTCCCCATCACAGACTTGTAAAGCCAGCACAGGGAGGAGGGAGGAGGCGTTCAGGAGGTAGTACTGCTTTATTTGACCTGCTCTGTGAGGCTGGGAGGGAAATCGCAGTGGGTGGGGGTGGGTATAACACTGGAGTGAAGGCTGGGGCAAACTGTGTAACCGCTCTAACTGAAGGTCCTCACTTTGAGAGCAGGGGGTGCTGTCACACTGGGGATGAGTGTCGTTGTCATCATCAGGGGGGCAATCGAAGACGTTTGATAACAAAGGGTTGTTTCCTGTCAGAATGGAATCATGGAGCAGCGCAGGGGCATTTGATTGTGGCAGGATCCTGGAAAACCCCTGTGACAGGAGAGTCTGTGTGACACCGGTCACAGAAGTAAAACGATTCAGCATGACCCCATGCTGCCAGGACTGAGGCTTTAGAAGCACAGACCTGTGGAAGAGAAGAACAACCTATATAACAAAAGTCCAAAGGCAACAAGTCGGGAATCTGAAAGTTGTGTTAATACGACGTTACCTGATAGACGGCCACAAACTTTCAAGTTCCTGACTGTACTGCTGGTTGAAGAGGTCCAGTACTGGTTGACATGGAGATCGTTGAGGTTTCTGTTTTTCAGTTACCTAGTACAGACAAAGGAGTATTTAAGAAAAATCAGTTAAAAGTCAATAGACAACATGTCATTAAGGAAGTTGTGTCCTAGTTATGTCATTGTCCAGATCAACAAAGATTTATGAAATTATATTTTGAATCTATAACAAAACAGAATTTATTGAAAATGGTTGCCAAACTTTTTCTGCACTCCCCCACTGTAGAAAGAACATTTATTTAAAACATTGTAATTCATACAAAACATTTGTAACAAAATTATAAATCACGCTGCCCATTTTTGTATCAACGACATTACCGGGATAATCAAAGTTTTTCTAACTTCATAGTTAGCAAAGTTTTTCTAATAGAACATTGATCACGTTTTAATGGTTTGTAACCAATAAAGATCACTGTTTGCTGTACCTGCTTCTTGTCGCCCGGACACAGTTGGTCAGGGACAGAGTGACAGGCTGTAGACCAGTTCAACCATAGCGTGCTTTTAGGCTTTAACGTTTGACCAGTGACGTCATTTATCCTCCGTGTTTTGCGGAGCTGGTGAACTCGAAACATTTATTAAAATGATTCCCCGCGTTTACACCCACACGGGTAACAAACAGCAAGACGTTTACATGGCTATAATATGACACAAATATTAGGTTAAACTAGAAACACCGACAGGTCCGTTCTTTAAATATGACCTGCCGGAGAAAAATGGCCGATTCTTTGGTTCCGCCTGGAAACTCGGGTAAGATTTGAAGGTACAATGTATACATAAAATAGAATTTGTTAAAAAATAGTAGCGAATATAATACAAATATACAAACACAACACAAAATATTAAATCAGTACGATTAGCCTAAATAAAATATACGATTTGGACGCAACAGGGGGAGCACTTTTTACAGAAGATTTCTGGGGATGGTTCGAGATCCGCAGTGGTGGGAAGGAGTATGTGACGTCACTTATTGGTACTGGCAATTAATACAATAATTTTACAAAAATCACAATTTCAAACTCAACCACTGAAGGTGAACTTACTCTTACTTTTTATGTGGGGGATGGTGCACTGGAATGATGTCACTTAGATCCAGCCACTGGATACGCTTTCTTTATTGGTTATTTTGATCATTTTTAAATGTATATTTTCATAACTGAGCATGTAGTGTGCTAATATCAGATACTAAACAATAGTGGGTGTTGTGAAGATTTACATTTCTATGATGTGACTGTACACAGAAAGCTATACAGTACACTTCAGACATGTTGTAGTCATGTGTGAGTCAATAGTTGTGTTTTGGTGAACAGCAAGACCATCTGTCATTCACTCCAGTGAAATAACCTTAAATAAAACAACATAAAGTGTCAACACATGGATTGGATTTTTTATTATTATTTCTGTTACCAGTTGTATGTTGTTAACAAAACATTATTATACAATATAATGACAAATCCCTCCGTGGTCGAATCTCTGTTTACCAGCATCTCACAGGACTCACTAACTTGTAAAAAACTACAATCAAAGAATGAGTGTGTTGTCCAACCAAGTTAATTCCCCCTAAAAGGACATGGTTGTGCAGGCTTACATTGCAAAAAGGATTAGAAAAGCAACCATCAGACAGAACAGACCCATAGCTTCAGACAGAGCAAAGCCTAAGATAGCATAAGAGAACAGCTGCTGCTTCAGTGACGGGTTCCTGTTGAGAAACACAGGAGTCAAATGTGACGGCCATTCAGATTTAAAAAAGTGATACGTCATGTTACTTTAACCAACCTGGCATATCCAATAATAAGGCTACCAAACACAGTTCCAATCCCAGCTCCAGATCCAGCCACTCCTACAGTAGCAGCTCCAGCACCAATGAACTTAGCAGCAGTGTCGATGTCACGGCTCACAGCACTGGTCTGGAAACTCCTCACTGCCATCTGCTGATGGGAGGCCATAACGCTCTGTGAGCCCAAGAGGGCAGCAGTCTGAGATACAAACAACGAGGAAAAGGCAACACAGGCTGGTTACTGATATATAACAAAGTCATAACTGTTGTGATGTTCACTAACCACATAATCAAAACATGTTAATCAATACACAAAGTTTTCCCAATTAGGAGAACCATTCCCCTTCAGCTCAAACACATATCCACCACCCCCTGCGCTATAATGGCCCCAGTGTTGCCACTTTAAATAACATGAGGTCTAGGGCAGCAAACTGTGTTCAGTCATTTTGATGCACTTCTAATATCTGTTTGCACTTTAACAATATATTTTATATATACATATAATATTAATTATGTATTTTTGTATTAATAAAAAAATAACCTAATACTTGTGTGTACAAATGATGAATACTTCATTATTAACCTTCTATGTTATTTTAAATTTGGTGGTATTGTTCTACATGCAAAGAAAAAAAAACACACCCCACTCCATTCTCACTGTTTATGTCAGTCAGTTGTTATGTCTTACCTCTGATTTCCTGGCATCTGACACCACTGCTGTGGACAGTGGTCTATACAGTGCACGGGATCCAACACGGATCTGTGTTAAGAACATTACAGTTTGGTTTACACTTTACTGAGACGTGATATTGTCCCATAACTCCTCTAAAACACTGCTTATAATAGCTTTTAAAATATAAGCTATTACAAGACTTTCCCAGAGGAAACGGCACATCTGCTGTTAACACAAGTGTGTCCCAAATATGGGATGAATAACAGTTTAAATAATAATAAGTATTATTAATACACGGAGGTCTTCGTTCAGACATACTCACCACCAGGGAGGGGGTGGAGACGAACTTAGCGCAGGCGAACATCACGACAGGTCGGACACAGGAGCTGCAAGAAACGTCAACAAGACAATTAAGACTTATTTAAACAGGGTGTTCATTTTAAATCAAGTCACAATTTACGTCATACGAGCCTACACAGATTGCAAAGTTAAGAGGAAACGAACACCTAAGGTCAATGGCAGCAATCATAAACCGAGAGAATACAGAAAACAGCCATGCGTTACGTTTGAAGAGCAGAACGACACTGGGCGCACAGTGGCAACAAACTAATCTGAATAACACAATAAAACATGTCACCTGTGGATAAAAACTCAAGGCAGTTTGTTACCGGCTCGTTGTAGAGGTCGAAGACACGAGAGGCATGCACATGCGCAATAACACGTTAAAGTTTGACTTCCGGTTTCCCGTGGCAAAACCGAATGACATCACTATGGATCGCTAGATGTACGTAGATAAAATAAAACATATAAAAATGTATTCCGTATGAGAATTTATTACTGAATGCTTCCTTAATTTTCTTAAATTATTAGATTTATTTGACAAAACTGCGTTCGTTTAATGTCTGTTGTTTTAAAAACGGATATTATGCTGTCATAACGACATGAACATTTTTATGGTCATTATTTTTATTTTGTTTGTTTTTTAAATCGTACATTTACGCTACATTCCACATATGAACATTATTATACCGACTACATTTGTCAAGTATTGTATTGATGTAATAATAATCTATATCATAATACAATGCTTTTAGGATGCCATTGATGATCTTCTCATCTTTCATGATATTTATGATAATTATTATGATAATTTTACGATTTCGTTTTTTTCATTCGTAAATCTGAAAAAAAAAACAAAAAACGGATGCATACGTGCGCACTGTACCGTTAAATCTAGAATTAAATTGTCAAATTTGACGTTCGATCTATAGTCACCAGGGGGCAGCAACACACCGCACTGCTAAACACTAAAAGCCGTTACACTGAACTCGCATTCAAAGAATAAACAGCGTAGGTTAAAGAGAATGGATAGTGGAAATACTAGTTTAAAAATCATATAAAGAGGTTTGTTATGGACATAATTGTAATCATTACTGTATTCAAATTTTATTTTTTAATAAAAAAATATGGTGTCACTTCAGGTGGACTCTGGATTTTGTAAATGAATTCTCCTTAATTTTAAAACACACGTCACGTTAAAAGCAAATAAACCAATGCTACAACGCCACACACTGGCTAGACTGGATACATGCGCTTTTATCTAATCATCTATAAATATAATAACCTTGTGATAAAGATGTGAAGACCATATTCAATAATCCAAGAGCAGCATTAACCTGAACATGAAACTCAACACCGACTTCCTAATTTAGATCAGCATCACGAGGAAGACCTCAGTCACAGCATATCTCAGACGAGCCTTGAAATGATTATTAAATATTTACGGCTCATCTCTCTCTCTTTGAGTGGGCTACCCACTGTGAGGATCAATGCCCGGACACCCACACAGCACTGAGCTGCATTTGGTGAGGCGGAAGGGAGATTCCTCTCCCACTGTCATGCGCCCTCCTCCTCCAGATGATGCGACCGTTACGCACCGCTAAAATAAAGCAGAGACGTGATTCTCCGGGGCGAATCCCAGCTGACGTCACTCACACTCAGACTTAAATACAAGCAGAGCAGCGGCTGTCACCACAGTCAGGCCAAGTCCACAGACAAGCCTTCAAACCAGGGATTATTTGGATCTTGTGCTTTTCTTTTTATCCAGTACCAGGTGAGAACATGAGAACTGTAGATGCGTTGAAATATTTACTTTCATATTTCTGTTAAGATGGGACTTCGTTAATACACAAACTGGTTTGATGTCAGATGTAGTATTTGAGTAGTATTTGTTCAACTCCCGACTCTTTCCTTCAACTCCAGATCCCACATTTACGCACAGCGCGTCAGTCGACAGATCCTTTGGCACAATGACACTGAACAAGGGAGACAAATTGCGGAGCATGGACAAGAGGAGAGCCAGCACACCGTTCCCCACGAATCTGCCCAACCTCCACCGGAGGAGCATGCCCGTGGACGACCGGGATCTCCACACCACGGTGCCATTAACGGGAGGCACCGAGGAGCTGTCCAACCTTCTCCGCTACAACTCCTACTCTCCCAACGAGCAGCACCGCAGGAGCTGCGCTTCCGACTCCTCCGACTCCGTCATTTCAACCGGCAGCGATGCGGAGTCCCAGGTTTACAAGGTGGTTCTCCTCGGGGAGCACGGCGTGGGGAAGTCCAGTCTGGCACGGGTCTTTGGAGGACTGGAGGATTCCGGTCACGACTGTGATGATGCAGGTAGATGATGACTCATCCCACACACACACACACCATGACCACCCCATGTGAGACCACAATGATTTATTTGACAAAAAAAAAGATAACAAAAGTGCAGAGGCAGATTAGATTTAAATGCTTTAAGTGTTAGCCTTGAAATTCAGCAGCATTAACCATAAATGGAAATGCAGTTTAGAATTTCTCTAACAATATCGATACATTTTGCAGTCACATATATACTGATATATACTTCTATCAATCCAGTAAAACCGTGTATTACCGATAACAACACACCAAATTGGACAGAATTATAAATTGGTGGTTTCCAAAGTGAGGGGTGCGTCCCTCTGGTTAGAGAAAAGCCGAGGCGGGGGGGGGGGGGGGGGGGGGTGTCATAAATTACACTATAATATAATATGTTCATTTGTGTAATGGTTGCAGTGGCGCCTGTAATGAACCCTCATAAGGGGGTTTTTGGTTCGATTCTATCTAGTCCTCAATCACAGTTTGGAAGGTCAGGCAGGTCATCTGATAAGGAGACCAGTTCAATGGTGTTTTGAAGCAAAGGCTGTAAAATAGACAATCTGCTGCAGAAAAAAGATGGCCTTAAAGACAAAGTGTGAAAACGCATCAATGGTTTGACCTACTGTTCATCAACCATTTGAATGAAAACAAACTGCCAACATAAAAAAAACAACACCAAAGCCGATCAGTGCACACTGACATGACTGTTCAGATCAGAGACGAAGCTCTCCTGCATCACTGCTCTAATGTACAGTTACTTTCCCTTCACTTCAGGAAACACTTATGACAGACCCATTGTGGTGGATGAGGAGGAGGCATCCATCATGTTGTATGACATCTGGGAACAGGTGAGTCCATACATTATTAACATAGAAGTAGTCCTTCTCCTTTTAAATCCACTCTGGACTGGAGGCTGACTCTTCTTCTTCTTCTTCTTCTCCTGAAGGACAACAGCCAGTGGCTGAAGGAGCAGTGCATGAGGATGGGAGACGCCTACATCATCGTGTATTCAGTGACCGACAAGTCCAGCTTCGAGAAGGCGTCAGAGCTACGCATTCAGCTGCGCCGGGCCAGGCAGTCAGAGAACATTCCCATAATCCTTGTGGGCAACAAGAGTGACCTGGTGCGATCCCGAGAGGTGTCTGTAGACGGTGAGTCCGTGGAATTTACTTTGCATTGAACCGTTAATGTTCTGGGGTTGTGTGGTCTGTCAGACCAACAGAGTTTAAAGTTGAGGTGACATTGATTTTTGATTTAGTGAATCTAACGGAATAATACTAATTTTATTATCATCATTGTCATGATTAATCAAAATCACAATGAATCACGATTATCAAGACACATCAACAACAATATATATATCCATATATATATAGACAGCTGTATATATTACGTTACCTGGTGCATCTTTCCATCAGTTTAGGGTCTTTTGCTGTATAAACACTTCAGAGCAGGATTTTAAACTCCTGGCCTGGGGGCCACATTACAGCCTGCGAACCCCCACATTTGACCCAATGTCTGAATTTAAATAATCTCATTTTGCTATTGTGTTAATTTCTTAAAAATGATCTTCAATAGTTTCTAATTATTAAATTAGCTTAAGTTGATCATTTTAGAATGAGAAAAAAAAGGCTGCCCAATGATGCTATTGTTACTGATGTTGTGTTGATGGGGCAACAGTGGTCCTCAGAGCCCTAACACCCTGTCTCCATGTCCTCCCTGTTACAGAGGGAAGTGCCTGTGCAGTGGTGTTCGACTGCAAGTTCATCGAGACGTCCGCCTCCCTCCACCACAACGTTCAAGCCCTCTTTGAGGGGATCGTCAGACAGATCCGGCTGAGGAAAGACAGCAAGGAGGAGAATGCACGCCGCATGGCCAACTGCAGGCGGAGGGAGAGCATTGGCAAGAAGGCCAAACGATTCCTGGGCCGCATCGTTGCTCGCAAGAACAAGAAGATGGCTTTCAGGCAGAAGTCCAAGTCCTGCCACGACCTGACAGTTCTCTGAAGAAAACCGTGGACAGAACTTTTTCTCCACAAAATTGGCCTCTGAAGACCAGATGCTGTGTGAATGTTTTAACACTCTGAAGGACTGGTAGAGATGCACACCAATATAAATACATATATAAATATATATTTATATTTTCTAGAATCCAAGTGGAGGCAAACATGGTTGATATTATTCCAGTCATATCATGGTAACCGCAGACACTAATTTAATTTTTTTACAACAAACATATTGCTGTTAAAACAATGTGATTAGAATGTATGGAACTGAAAACCATCGACTTGATGTTTGTATTGACTTTCATTCATTTCTCCAGAGCTGGTGGAGACTGATGCTGTATATATATGTATGTATATGACCGACACTGAATATTACACATCTCATTGTACCACACACTCGAGGCACACAGTACACAGTACTACGTCAGCTGGAGGTGAATTTACTTGAAGTGAGGTGTGCAGGTTCACACCTCGGCCAAGTAACTGTGGATTTGTTAATCAAAAACATATATTAAATAACAGTTTTATTTTGTTTCCATAACATTGAATTCATGTTGTGGACTTATGATTAAAGCAATAAGTTCTGTTCTTTCTGTGAATTTTGACATTTCTTGGAAAACTCTTTGTTTACATTGTATTTCTTTTGCAATAAAACTTGAAAAAACAAATTACGACCTGTCTGTGCTTTTTATAGCATCAGTCGAAAACTGTTGTGAAGATGAAAAAAAAACTGTCATTGCATAATTTGCATTTATTTTTAGACCTTTATTCACGAACAAAAGAGGGGAACAGCGTTCATCCTTCCTATTTAATTATGCAACAGTAACGACGTAATTAACTGCGCGTCCAAGTGTCTGAAACCGCTTTTCATTTAACCTGAATCTACTTTATATACTCCCTAGACAGGGGTCCAGGAGTAGGGAATGAGTGAGTGAGTTCAGAATTAAACAAAATGTTTCCTAAAGGAAATGAAGATCAATGAAGATTTTAAATACGTGGCTGAAAAATATAGTGCAAAGTTAGCGTTAATCATCCAATCACGACCAAAATAACATCAAAATTTTAATCACAATTTGTCACAAGCGTTAATCATCCAATCACGACCAAAAAAACATCAAAATGTTAATCACAATTTGTCACAGAATCTGAAATGAATCTGATCCAACAGCCTGTGAAGCCTCAGACAGGGAAGGGTTGCAGCCAATGAAAACGTTTCTAAACAAAGTCAACAGAAAAGAAAAAGATTTTTAAAAAACTATTACAGACAAAGAGACGACAGGAGTTCCTGTTGGAATTTTCATCGATATTTCAGGAAGAGGCCAAAGAGGAATAGCACCAACAACCTTAGAGCCATCAGTAGGGCATAGTGGAGGTACTGTCAAGATTTGGGGCTGCATTTTATAAACTCAATATTGCCTCTTAGCTTGTGCACTTACAATATAACAAAATCCCAAAATATATATATCTAAAAATGAAAAGATAGACTAGGAAATAAACTCAGGTGTGCAGTAAGTACAAAACTCGGAGTAGTAAGTAGTTTTGGACTATTTTAGTCCTCATAAATATTCATCAGATTGTATCAGATGTGGTGGAATGGAACCACACTGGCCATTGGTTTTGGAGAAAGGAAACGAAGTAGTTAGGTATTTGTATTGGTGAGCGTTAACCATTAATCCACAGGAGCAGTACAAGAACGCAAGTTTTCCATTCGATTTAAAATCCTTTCACACCTCCAAGAGAGACGACGCACAATATGTGGACGAGGTAAGAGACGCTCTCAGCTCCTGCTCCATATAATATTTCTTAGCTTTCTTGGTTTGCACTGGATTGTATCACTCGTCTTGAAATGTATTTTTGAGTAATTAACCTCACCTGTACTGATAATTTATTGGACCATTTTAATGGTAAACTACAGTTAACATTTTGTTTATATCACCTGTCCAATACTTTGATAAAAGTTGAACTCCTTTTTCTCTTAAAGATACATAAAAAGGGTAAGAATATAAATTAAAAAACTAAAAAAGTAAATAAAAAACAGATAATTGCACCAGCAACAAAAGCAGCAGTGGCAGTTGTTAAAGTGATAGTCTGCAAGCAGTAAATGGTAAGTATAAAATACTGCACTACAAATAACAAATGTAACAAAGTAGAAAAGTACTGCAGGTATACAACAATTATTCTGTAGGAAAAAAAACAACTACTACTATTTGTGTATGTGAACCACAGCACCTCCAGCTTCATGTACTGGAGTCTGTCACAGGTGAATTAGTAACAGGGCTGAAACGCTGTGATTGTTGTGCCGAGGCCATGTGGTTAACATGCTGTGAACATGGTGTATTTCAGTCGACTGATGGCTGACGGACGAGCTGCTCCACTGCTGAACACTGCTGTCAGGGTAAGAGGACCACATCCAGAAATGCTCAGTAAAGTCTGTTTCATCTGTTCATACCAATGTCCATGAACACACACATACTGTGTTCCACAGCTGCTGCTGCTGCTGGTGCTGCAGACGGTAGCACCCTGCTCTGGGTCAAATGTTAAAATTGGTGTCCCCGAGAACTATGACGGTATCTTCCCCTGGTATCTTGCCAAGGTAAGACATTTTTCTGTCTGGAAAGACTAAATACATTCTGAAACACGTGTCCTTCTTTGTGAAACATACCACATTTAAAAACGTTGTAGTTTTTAAAATGTATTTACTAAACTCAGTAAACACAGTCATAGTTACCAAAAGAATTCTTACACATTCTTACACAGAAAAATTGAAACAAAACATTCGTAACAGAAACCATTTCATCCTCGTTCCCTTCAATCCAGCGTGCCCAAGGCGGGGGGCGGGCTCCCCAGGAGGTTCAGAGCTATTGCAGGAGGGGTGTTTGCAGTAAGGCCAATTGATTTCCAGTTCAATGTCCCACAGTGGGGGAATTGCAATAGGAAAATAAGTAAAATGACTGTATTTTATATACAGTCCACTGTATATAAAATACTGTTTGTTGTTTATTTTGAGGGGGTGAAATGGCCTTATTTACTATCACAGCCATGAGTCTATAGAACCTCATCATTTACCCTCCTGAGTACATTGTACTCAGAATAATTTTTAAAAATCCTGCTGCCATCATTAATATCACTAGACCAGAAGAGTTGACGGCTCCTTTCTGGCTTCACACTCGGCTTCTGCACTCTTCTGTAGTAAAATGTGGTCTTAAAAGTGTGTCAGTCCCTAAGACTGACTGGATGAACAGTCTTTGACTATAGTGTCATTACATGCTGCTCCAAACTGAGTCATAATTTTAGCTTTTTGTTAGAGTCAGTGATATAAGTGCACTTTCCGTGACAGATAAATGATCTGAATGGAAAAGTTGGACAATGAGCTGCTCTTTGTGTTGGAGACTCATTCAAGCTGGTTGGCTTTTGTGGCTTTTGTTCACGAGTTTAACAATTTTTGTAACTGCTTAGAAAATATAAAATAAGAACATTTCAATAGGATAATTAAAGTCTACTATTGTTATAATTGTTATATAAAGCAACAATATTGTTATATAAAACAAATATTTTCAAAGCCATCCCAGAAATCTTTAAAACTAATCATGTGATCACCAACCTATCGAAGTGTGTAGTCTGTCTGAACACGTAATTCAGAATTATTTTTAAAGCTTTAATTTTGAACACAATAGTTACAATTTCTGATCAAAAGTTGAAGCTGGTAACTAGGTTAGTACTGATTTTTCAATCTAACACAAAGGTCTAAATGGATGTTGACGAGAACTCTCTCTTTCGAACAGCTCCACAGTCTGCCCGCTAATTACAGCGACCTGGTGGTAACTGGTGATGACGAGGGCATCTTCGGAGTGGACAGCCACTTCCTGTACGCTCTCAAACCTCTGGACAGAGAGAAACAGCCTTCCTACTCCCTGCAGGTAACATTCTATCAGATCTGAGAGAATTTTACTTTCTCAGCGTCGTCTCTAAACATGTGTTAAATGATGGTGTACACACGTACGATGTCTAAAGACCTGAATGTCCTTCACATCTGATGTAACATCTGTGGGCTGTTCCCAGTGGGCGTCTCTGAAATGTTGCTGATGTGGGTGTGTGTGTGTGTGTGTGTGTGTGTGTGTGTTTCAGGTGTCCTTCAGAACATCCATGCAGCGACAGAGCTTCACCGTTGAAGTGTGCGTCAACGACAAGAACGACAACGTTCCAACGTTCATTGAAGAAAGCATGAGAGGCAGCGTTCAGCTCGGCCTTCTCAAAAGTACGACAACCTGGAGCTGTGATGTCACAGTGGTCACATTTGTCAGCCCTGATATATAATAATAATACACGGCTGACATTGGTTGCATAAAGGAGAACAAAGCAGTTATTATTCAATAAAAATCACCCCCCCCCCCGTCCTGACAGAACATCTGTGGAAAACTACATCTGACTATGTAACAATAATGGAACATCAGCAGTCGCTCAGCCTCAAAACACTATGACTAATGTAATTATGGATTCATTTCCTTATTTTCCCTTCCGTACAGTTGATTCTTCAGAAAGACATGTTAAATATTGTGTGCGTGGCGTACAGTTGATTCTTCAGAAAGACATGTCAAATATTGTGTGCGTGGCGGGGCGGGGGTATATCTGTCTTACAGATACACTGTAGATACAGTACTAACTACATTTCTTTCAATTCCCTGCGTCCCTGTCAGGAATCCCGTTCATGCAGGTAGAGGCCGTGGATCGTGACGATCGTAACACGCCCCACGCCGACCTCAGATTCAGTCTAATGGAGCAGACGCCCAGGATCCCCTCCAGTCAAATGTTCTTCATTGACTCCATCACTGGGGAGGTTTCGCTCACTGATGAAGGTGAGTCTCGACTGTTACTAATGCTACTGTTAATTCGCTACATTAGCACGAGCAACAAACATCTCAAGACATCTCCTCAGGTTTTCACCCTTGAACAGCTACAATATCAGTTTTAAAGAACATTCAGATGAAAAATATAAAAGAACAAAAATAAAAAGTTGGAAATGTGGGAGCGTAAGGATATTTAATGTCAGTTTTTTTTCTTAGCTAAGAATTGAAGCCTAAAAACGCCTTGTAATTTTAACAAAAGAAAAAAATCCCAAAAGCACTTTTATAAGACAGAACACACACACATGCAACCATTAGTTCTGTGTGCCAGTACTATTTCTGTAGCTGTGCCATTTCTCTTTGTAACAACTTGGCAGAAGCTGGATGACTTTCACACCTTCCACTTCCTTCCAGCCAACATCACTGCCAGTTCTCACACTTTTCTACACATTAGTAAGAACTCCAAATGACATCCTCCATTTTCTCTCCTCTTTCCTGTGCAGCTGTTACTACTGTAGAGATAATTACAACATCTATCCTTGGAGTCATTACCCTCAATTTAAAAACATTCTTCCAGGAGCTTCTACCCTGGATCCAGACATGTGCGGCCGTTATAAGCTTTCAGTGATGGTGAGGGACATGGCTGGGAAAGCCAATGCCTTCTTCTCCAGTGGCATTGTTACTGTGGAAGTGACAGGAAACGCTTGGGCATCCCCTGATCCTGTGAGACTACAGGAAAACCTCCCTGGTCCTTACCCTATCCCAATCTCCCAGGTGAGACGGCACAAACCAAACAACCACAGATGTTTGTTTTGTTTTGACTCTGAACCCTGTCACTTGGTCTATGAGGGACCAGCTGCACTGGTTGTCTATACCAGTCCTGTTGTAGCAAACGTTAGTGCTGGTGTCTGTCAATCTGTTTTACATTGAGGAGATATTGTCGACATGGAGAACTTTAGTGATAAGACACCCATCTAGGGATGCAACCATACAGTCAGGTCCACAACCATAACTACCTTTTCAAGCTGACATCAGGTGATAAAGCTCAACAGGCGATGCAGTCAAGTCTCTAATCTTTTTCACCACATCTTTGTGCTGTGATGTCACTCACTGCAAACAGTTTATCTACTTCTAGCAAACACATTTTAAATGCATTACTGTCATGTACTACTATTAGTCAACACTAACATATGACCAAGTCCAAGGCCCGATTTGGTCAATAATCTTATAATAATTTAAAATAATAATATCATCAGTTCCTGTTCCATCTCTTGGATTATATTACAATACATTAAACTATCGATAGCCCAGACTGAGAGAAGTGTTACCACATGCTAGCTGCTGTTTTTAGTGCCTCTGTCATCCTAAGTGACCAAACTTACTGAATTATTGATGCAGTGCAAATGTCATGGATCCTTTTAGGCTAGCTCTTGACTGAATCAACTCCACTGATCCCCCACTCATTCATTACAACCAGAAACCGGAACACCACTGATTCCACACATGAAACCAACTTCCCATGCACAAAAATAAAACACTCTTACGTTAACATACTGTTAAATATATATATATATATATATATATATTATAACATTATCTTTTTATATTACTGTATGATTTTTTTTCTTTTACCTCTGAGACCAGAAAATAGTTCTGTGTGTATGTTTTGAATTTTTTAATTTCCTTCTGTGCCTGTTTTGAGGCTTTCTTTTCATTTACAATTTACTCATAAAAACTGTCAAATACTCAGTGATTCCTCTTATACTCTTACACTAGCAGCATCTCAGTAGCATCATCCACAAAACCACTACTTGTTTAAATATATAAAAAATCCAGTGTAGGAATAACAAACTGCATTGTGCAGTTTCTAAGAATCACTGTGATCACACACTCTACTTCACAATGTCTCCCCCTCCTCCTGTTCTCTCCCACCTCCCCTACACTCACCCCAGCCTCTCATCTCTCCTGTTCTAACAGCCTCTTCCACCCACTGCAAATGTGTGATTTCAAGAGTGTGGGCGCATTTGATTTTATCATTACAATATTTTCAAAACGCATGGCAGCCATGAGTGATCAGTGATAATAATCAGTTCCATTTAAAGACAAGGCAAAACAATATAATACAGATAATGCACCTTTAAAAAGGTCCCTTTCTCTTTGTTTAGTTTTTTTAATTTAAAATGTGTCATGAACCTGAGACATGTGTCTTCTGCTCACGCATGTTGGGCCCAGAGTGACTGATGGAACACTCAGTAGGTGGAGTGATCAACCGCTGTCATGACACATACGGATACAGTCATGTTCAGAGAGCTGCTCTATGGATTTTTCCTCCCCTGCTGTTTCAGATTAATGGAGGATTCGTGTCCACACTCACTCATCTGGAGCGAATGATACACATATTATCTTATCAAATATTGTCAAATTAAAATCCCCCCATCTAAAGATCAAAATCATAGATAAAAAAATATATTGATTATATAAAATAATAATAATTAAGAAAACATTTAATGTTATTGTTTTTAAAAATCGATTTGACAATATGTGTTTCTAACATGGTTGTGTGAAGAGGAACCTGCAGAAGTCTCTCAGGTTGACAAATCCAGTCGATGGCGCTAACATTAACAAAGGAGAGGAAGTGGATGAGTTGTATTTTAACTATTTTAATCATAACTGAGTAACGACAGAAACTCTCTGGCAAATATTTTTAAATATTCACGTTTGGCCCAGATCAACGTCTGTGCCTCCATCCAGACAGCAGTCCACCTATTAGTAACCTTCTGTAATGGGGGCTTTAATCAGTAATACTGGGCTTCTTTGTTCACCGCTGCAGCCTTTATCTTGTGGACTCTGTTAGTGTCATCCATCATGATCTTCAGTTTGACTCCGACGCTGTTTATTCTTAACATGGAGTCTGAAGTTTGAAAGAACACACGAACGCCCTCAAACTCAAAGGACAACAGAAATATCTGAAACAGCGATGGTATCAAAACAGATGACCTCAGACGGCAGGCGTTTGAAGTTTGAGTCGATGTTCTCTAAGTTCTGAGGCCCAGAGGCAGAGCAGCAGGTCCGACTGTGTGAAGTGGACTTTTGTATACAAAAAGAGCTACGTTTGGGCTGCTGTGTGCAAAACATGGGAGGAGCATGTGACAGTGAGATGAGGAGAATCACTTGTTGTGAGTGTGCAGCGACTCTGCTCCTCTCCTTGTTGGGAGCTGTTTGATGGCGACGCAGGCTTCTTTCAGCTCCACTGCACAGGCCTCTGACAGGGGCTTTTAGGCAGAGTGGAAAATCCCCTTCAGCCTGTGTTAGTTTTGGCTTTGCACTGTGTTCCAAATTATTCTCAGAGCATTTGGATGGCTTCTTATCATGTAAACAAACTTTAGCTTAGCTTTGTAGTCACACAGTGGGGGGAAATTATTAGCTCTCTTAGTTAAATTTAGGTCCGTTCAATGTGCTGTTCCACAGATTCTGTGGCAGCCTGTGTCGGCTGAAAAGACGTTTGAATTTTCCCATTTTGGGACAAATAAGGGACTCTTATTTTTTTTGTGTGTGTGTGGTACGTACTTCTAAATGTTTCGATTTTCTGCATCAACTGACACACTGTTAGTGTTAGTTAGTGTCACTCTGGCATGATCAGTGTAATTGTCTGCATCTCCTTCATACAATGACATCAAATGTTTATTTTCATATTTAAATATATATTAATTATTATATTAATACTGTCAATTTTATTTTTGTGTTTGTTATCAAGGTGAAGTGGAGTGGTAGTCAGGCGGTGTACAGTCTGGAGGGAGAATTTCCAGAGATGCTCTTCACCATCAGCAGAGAAGGAGTCATTTATCTCAACGCTCCTCTGGACAGAGAGACTCAGGACCAGGTCTGTGAGACTGAGAACTAAACGTTTGGGTTTTAATGTCTTTGTGCAAAGAGAAGAAATATTCAAAATAAATCCAAATATTGGCACCAAGCTGTTACTGTTACTGAACTACCGACCTCTACTCCATGGATGGGTTAGAGAGCCTCTGGTCTGAGTACTGAACCATCATTCAGTCTGCAGCCTTCACCAGTGACTGGGCTCTTAGAGCACTGCATGTTCTCCAGAGTTACAGAATATTGAACACGTAACTGTCCTCCTCAGCTCCACTCTGTCTATCCTACAATCCATCCATCAGTGCCACGACAGCCCAAGGCTAACCACAACAGAGGAGCAGTTGTTGGAGACTCCAAGTGAACAATTCATGACATAACTTGAAAAATGGTCACAATTAAGAAAGAGCTCAGTGAAAAAAAAGTCCTTGGGATGTCCAGAATATAACATATATTACATATACGTGGGTCATGGAGGGAGGGGTGTTGATGGCTGTCGTCATGGGACTGTTTTTGCAGCTTTAACAAAGAAGCAGGTTAGGTTAGCGCTACATCTGCAGCTAATCACCTCTGTTCAAATGTTCGACTCAAACAGAGGTGATGAAAAATAACTTCCTACATTCATTTTTTAAAATATTGTCATAAATATTTCTGAGTTTCTCTCATGTTTCTATCGTCACGATGTCTCTGGCCTGTCAATATTTCTGAGTTTCTCTCATGTTTCTCATGTCCTTCTAACAGTTCCAGATCAGCATCGTGGTTGAGCGCCCAGATGGCAGAGAGATCGCCAAGCCTGTGGAACTAAGGGTGATGGTGGGCGACACCAATGATAACAGACCCACCTTTCCACAAGCACAATATCACACTGTGGTGAAGGAACTGTCAGCCCGGGGTAAGGACATGTTTCTGATTATACACAGAGAATATGTTTTTAGTAAAACGAGGTCCTTTGTGCACTGACCTCCCCTCTGTAGTTTTGTCGTTTAGACACCAGCCTGAGACTAAACTGTCTTTTACAGTTAACTACAGTCGAATATGTTTTTAGTAAAACGAGGTCCTGTGTGCACTGACCTGCCCTCTGTAGTTAGAGTCTGTCTGTTCCTCAGCCATGAACTAAACTTTGTTCAGTTTTCCAGTGTAGTTAATGAGGGTGTTTTAACCACTTTGCACAATTGATGATCATCACTGTCTGTTTGGTTGTATTGGTTGATTGTACACCTCAATATAACACCCCATGCTCACTTTTCACTTTTTTAATTGTTTGTCGCACCATCACAAAATAAATAATCCCTTTACTGATTTTATTTAAAGATAATCCAACAATGTTTCAAACTTTAGGTCATTCAGACTCTGATACTAACAGAATAAAGTCTGAAAGATGTTTTATTTTGAAAAATGTAATGATCCTTTCAACGATGACGCACTATTACCAGTCCACACGGACAGCTGATACCGGCCGAGCCACGATGGGTGTATATATATTTATTTCAATACATTTCCATACACATATACAGAGTACAGCTACATTTAGACCACGTTTGGATCAAATGAATTAAGTTAGTCTGTGCAGTGAGTTAACTCTACCTTACCTTGTGTTGGGCGTTTCTGAGCAGGTACAGAAATCCTGACAGTGCAGGCAGCAGATAACGACGACCCCAAGACAGACAACGTTCGGATCTTTTACCGCTTGGTTGGGCAGATTCCTGAGAGCCCTCGCGCCCTGTTCAGAGTGGATCGTGACTCAGGGGTCATCTCCGTGCAGGCCGACAGTATGGAAGGCACAGCACCACAGTACACGCTCACCATCACTGCAGAAGACGCCAAAGGTGAAAAAGGATCAATGCAAAAATCTGCCCTCGATTTTCATTTTGATTTGTTTTGCAAATCTAAAAAAAAAAGTATTATTGATTATTTATTTTGTTTACATTGATATTACATTACATTTGTTTCCACTCAGTGATGGACCTTTTAACCAGTGGGCCAACACTGCTGTAGACAAATTCAACATAAGTTGTGCTTTAGCTTCTCTAGCTAGATTATCTCCTAATAATTGGATCAGGGCCCTGAAAAAATGTGAATGAATGAATGATAAAAGTCATGCATTGGTTGAACCATCTGAAAAGATCTTGAGCAGCTTGTTGTTATGCGAGATCACAGAGATGAGAAGCAGAAATACCAAGATTAACACACTTGTAAATAGTTCCCCGTTGCTAAAACAAAGATGTTTACAATATTAACGATCTGCTTCAGTATTTTCACAGATGCTTCATAGTCTATTGGTGTATGTTTCTTAGCAGCTGGTGGTGACACCACATCATGTTGTCTGGATGACTCATGGTGCCAGGGTGTGATGAAGGCAAAATGTTTTTCCCGTTCCCTCATTATTCATATAATGAGTCTAAATCTGAGTCAACAACAGAAACTGTGATGATGTCTCTGGCAGGTTTAAACAGTTCCTGCACAGTGGTGGTGACGGTGCAGGATGAGAACAACAACCCACCAGTCTTCTCCCAACATGAGGTATGGAAGCACACGCACGCAAAGACGCAAACGGCCGTCCGGTAATGGACCAAATAAACAGTTGCAAAGGAAACAGCACAGACCATAATAAGTGACTGTAGCGAATTATCTTTGTAGGACACTGAATGTTGTCACTGTTCCACCTTCATGCTTACAGCAGTTGTACAATTAAATTACCTTTGCCATTCTCAATTCATTTGAATTATGCAAAGTGTCTTAATGAAAACATTACATCCAGTGCTAATAACTCCAGAAACAATATGTAAATACTGTTGTTGTCTTGGCTTTTAGAACTAATAATGCGCAATATCCAACATGAAGGATGCCGAAAATAATTAAAATAATTAATTATACGATAACTAATATGAGAACAATTGCAATGATATCCGAAAATAATTAAAATAATTAATTATATGATAATTAATATGAGAACAATTACAATGATATTACGGTAACTTTTTGCCGGTATTTTATATATTCAAATACTTTCTGATTCTGATAATATCAGTCGGCACATCCTTAAAATGAACCAATAACTGCAGCAAGACAACAGGAAGCACATGTAAAGCTGAAACTAGAAAATGCTAGAACCTTCATTCACACTGCTACAGAATATCACAATCTCCTGCAATCTTTAAAAGGAAACTGCTTTGGCAAACGGCCGGTGCTTTTCAAATCCTCTCAGACTTCACACTGGACTCCAGCATCCCCACATACTGTTCTCCTTCAGTGGCATATTTATCAGATCTTCCCACATCACAGGCCAAGTCATTTCACCTTATGTTTACAAGTTAGAGGGATAAAAAACAGACGTCTCCTTCTGTATAAATGACTTTTCCAGACTTAAGTCATACTGGCTGAGTAACTTGCAAGCTGATCTGAATAACTTCCTGAACTTCCCACGAACAAAATCTAAAAACAAGCAAACACCATATTTATATGAAGCCACAACAAGAACTGTTATTGATGAAACGTAAACAAATAGACAATTACAAAACTGGTTTCACGTCGTTCTACTGAAAAACCACTGCTCATATATTCTCAGCAAAGCCCAGTCAGCATAACATACGTAACGTAATCTTCCAATCACTATCCAGTGCTGTAGGGATGAAGCTTAATGAAGCTGAGCTTGAGTTGAATACCCTTTCTAAAATGTAACCATTTTGCAACCAACTTTAAGAAAATGAAATTTAAATAATGTATTATTTTAAAATGTATTTTGACATTTTAGAGACAAATGTCTCTTAATGTGTTAGAACAATTGACACTGGGTTTTTGTATCACTGTCCGGTAGAATTCAGTAAAAGTACAAGGTGTAACTGACAAAGAAATCCTAAAAAAAAAAACCCCAAAGAAATGCTTTTCCTTGCAATCGTTGCCACTACACCTCTAGCTACATTGTGATCTGCTCCAGCAGGATTTCATCAACACTGTATTCAAAAGCCCAGCATGGAAAAGAGCAGCGGGAGGTCCCTCACTTTGTTGCTGCTGGTGTGATGGAAAAATTCTCTAAAAATAGGCTTTTACAGGAAATCCCATTATTTCCTCCCACACTGTACTGTGAAAGGAAGGTTTGGTGCTATGTGGGAAGGCCATCATGCCAGGATAAAAGCAACAAGTCTCAAGTCCGTCAGACAGTGGGGACGCTGTGAACATGCCAACAGTGATGAAGTGTGGACTGTTCTCACGTCCATATTCCGTCCAGGCGCTCTATTCAGATTCAGATTCAGATTGATCCCCCTGGGGGAAACAGAAACATGTCATGCCTATGCACTGCTGAAATTAGTTATTATTATATTTTGAGGATTTATTTAAGTATTGACTGCTATGACACAAACATGCACATAGACATGTACACACAGCACAAACACAGAGGTGGAAAATGCTCTTGAGCAGGTCACGCCTGAGGAGTGCAGCTTTTTCCATGCTTGTGAAGTCAGTCTATAGGGGGAGATGTGGGAGGTGAGTGGTGACAGGGCTGGGTTCAGAGAGTCAGTGGATGGGCCAGTGAGATCAGAGACCATCGCTGAGCGGCAGATTAAACAGCTGTCTAAACACCTAGCTGTGTGTGTGTGTGTGTGTGTGTGTGTGTGTGAAAGAGGTCACTAAATACAGGGAGGACAAGCAAAGGCCGATGCACACAGTAACGTGTTACCCCTGCCCTACAAATCACTCATATTGTAAACACTGCCTGACTTTACATTTTTATACAAATTAATGTATTTTTTTTACAGTACCAGTATATATATAAATACATAGATAGATAGACAGATAGATAGATAGATACTTTATTGATCCCAAACTGAATCAATAAATCCGTTATATCCATCTTGTTGGAGTAGTACAACTTTTCTGATACTAAAGATCCACATTCTGATTTTTAAATAAACCAAACAAGGGTCACCGACTATATTTGGTGGAGGGCCAGAATTTTCCTGGACAACCGCCGTGGGGGTGGGACACTCGAATAAAATGTAATAAAAATCAAATATTTGTCTTATTTTTGTGTGTCTGTCTCAACAGTACGGACCATTTCACATCCCAGAGGATGCTGCTGTGGGAACCACTGTAACAGCTGTGCTGGCAGGAGATGCAGATGTTCGAGGAGGAGACAGCTGGCAGGTCAACTACCGCCTAGAGTCTGGAAATGAGGAGGACGTCTTTACATTGGTGACAGACAGGCAGACCAATGAGGTCTCACTTGTTCTTTCTAAGGTATGGAGTTCAGTTGTAAAAGTGGAAGAAGTGAATATGGCAGCACTGTGATAAGTGGGTATATCAGACCAATTTGAGCGGGATGTTCATCATTTTCAGGTCATTTTAAGACTTGTCCACCAACCTTCTCCACCAGCTATGATCACCAGCTGGTTTTCCATTTAAATGTTTTGTTCAAAGCAAACATGTTTTTTTTTTTTTTTAAATTAAACTTTTATCATAGGCTGTGAAAATTACTGGCACTTTTGTTTTTTTTCTCCCAAAACTGAAAATACATTTTGAAGGAACTGGATTTCAGTCCTTATACGAGACAAAGAAGCAGGTGGTGACCTGGTGTCAAAGACCTCCTCCAGAACTCACACACTCTGATAGAAACAGAAGAATTTAAACATGATTACCATGAGTGGACATGTCAAGAAGAAAACTTTATATAAATCTTAATTTATAACATACTTTTTCAAATAGGAAAGTCTTTGTCTAAATGTTAGATGTTTTGTCAACCATTCAGATATCTTCCCTGAAGTGAGAAGCTTATTTTTGTTAAATAACAAAGCATCAAAGCTCTTTGGAAACACGATTGGCAATTATTCTTATTCTTTTTCTCAATCTTCCTTAGTGGGAAGTTAACTATTTTTATCTATTGAAAATTCATTGCACAAACTTTAATTGTAAAAAGCCACAAGCTGTCATGGAGTTGACAGACTGTTGCCTCTGGAGACCGTGCGCATGTGCTGCTGATGTTCTGATACACATTAGGTAGTTTGATGCGTCACATCCAGTCACCAGCAGTGAGCATGTAATTTTCAATGCCTGCGTTTCTTCTCCCTGGCAACAGAGCGGCATGATGTCAGACAGAACTGGTTCAATCGTGTCTTGTTTTGAGGGCAGACAATAACAAGAAAAGCTCGGAACATTTGACGCAGACTAAAAAGGGGAAAAAAGTCATGAAGACCTTATTTTAGAAAGCCCCAATATAAACGTTATACGTATGTGTCCTTTTTTTTTTAGGTTTTGGACTTTGAACGTGAAAGCGAATACATCCTGGTACTCAGCGCTCAAAATCCCGTCGCTCTGGTACGTGGTCGATATGGACCTGCATCCACAGCCACCGTCTCTATTTATGTGGATGACGTAAATGAAGGTCCAGTCCTGTCTCAGAGCCATTATGAGGTGACGGTGAGAGAGGGTGAAGAACCCGGAAGGGTAATTGCCACAATTCGAGGCTACGACCCAGACTCTCACCCTATCAGGTAACCTTGAACAGAAATTCAGTAAAAAAAAATAATACATGACATATAACTGTTTACTAACCTAGCAGAAATATACTTATTTATTTTTCTGGACAGATATTCTCTACAAGGGGATACAAAGAAATACTTTTCCATTGGAAAATATTCTGGAGAACTGAAGACCGTGCAGGCCTTGGACAGAGAAGAGAACAGCACGTACACTATGGAAGTCATTGCAGTAGATGGTCGTACGTATGCTTTGTTCTTATAGTTAACAACAGTGAGGATGTTCAATAAAATGTGTACGCTGTGCCGCTGCATAATTATCATAACTTCAAACCACAAATCGTTTCCACCCAGTGGGATCCACACGCTGCTTTTTCCAAAGAAGAGTTTCTGGTCCAAAAACTATGCTGAAGGCATTTTGTTAAATAACTGCATGTTCCGCTACAACCAAAATACGAGAAGAAAACCTTTGCAGTGAGGCTACAGAGAGGTCTACTGTAACAATAGTAATGTGAAAAATGTCTTTTTTTCCTCTTTTTTCAATATAATGCACTAAATCATGAGAAAATTTTGGTCCAAAGTTTGTGTTTTGTTATTTGCAAAAATAACTGTTGTTCTGAAGTTATTTTAGGGGAAGTTCAATACAATAAATGCAATGTGTGTTTCTAATTATGATATAATATCAACCCAATTAATCATGATTATGACTTTTCCCATAATCCAGCAGACCTCATATTCAGCCTAACTTACGGCATATCCTTTTAGGAAACTCATCCTTGTCTGCATCTACTCTGGTGACTGTTCAAATCCTGGACGTGAACGACAACAGCCCAGTGTTGGTTGGAGACTACTCCTGGAAGTATCTGTGCACACCTCGCTGGGAGGACCAGGCTCTAGTGCTGGCCTCACGAGACAGTGATGGGCCACAGCACGGAGGGAGGCTGAACTTCTCGCTGCGCAGCGACGCCACAGTTCGACGGAACTGGAAGCTCACGCCCATAAACGGTGAGGCAAATGCAGAATTTGCCATGTAAAAAACAACTATTTTCTTGCATGTCCATGCCTTCCATCCAAACATTACTGCTTCATGATTTGATTGCTTCCTGCTTCCCCATTGTACATGTACACAGAAGGGACATGCATCAGTCCTGCCTCAAAATAATGATGGAGTTAAAAGTGCTACTAATCATTATCGGCCTAATTATTTATTATTATTATTATTCATTATTTCCATGGCAATACAAGTGAATATGAACAATTCAACACATTCAGCAGCTGATAGATCAGATAAAAATAATAATAAGAGTATGCTAGAAATATGAGATCCACGATGTAAAAAAACTGCAGGACAAAATGTATAAACATATTCACAACCCCTTTTAGAAGTACTGCACAGCTTGTACTCCTGTGCTGAGGGACAAATGGAACATGATTGGAAGGTGTGAGCTCAGGGTTTAAGACCCCCAGATAACAGTTCAAACAGTCCGATAAACACTTTGCTTTTAAGGACAAGGCTTTACGTCATTCAGCCATCCATGTCTTTTAGACTGATCCACAGAGATAAGATAAAGACACTGTGCAGAGCTCTGAGTGCACAGCTGAGTCAGTCTCTGCTCTGTGTCCTGTGTTCTCTCTTTTCAGTCTCTGCTCTGTGTCCTGTGTTCTCTTGGTATATTGGTGTGTTTTTTTCCCCTATTTTTGCTCCTGTGTTAGTACAAGAAATGTGTTTATTGAAAACAGCTGCCTTTGTGCTTTAAATACAAACCTTCAGTGTCTTTTTGTCTGTCAGATACTCACACCAACCTGTCCCTAAACATCCCATACCTGGCTCCTGAAGTCTACACTGTGCCCTTCACCATATCCGACAGCAGCTCCCCTCCTAGGAGCACCTTCATCAACCTGCCGGGTAATGCTGTCACTGGTGCTGACAACCCTTCTGTGCTGCTTTAGCAGAGTGTTTATAGAACAATCAATACGGATCTACCAGTGTGTGCAAGCATGTGTTGCTCTATTGTAATGTAGCTTAACAAATGATTTTTCCATCCTTGTGATGACACAGCTATACAAAGACACAAAGACTGTGGTCCATCTGATATAAAATGCTGACGCATTATATACAGGAAATGCAGCATATATATATATATATATATATATGCTGCATTATATATATATATATGGGCCAACAGCCCAATGTGAGAATGTATGTTTTTGGACCTACATTTACTTTGTCAATGTGCAAGATTGCCATAGGAAATATAGTAGAGGACTACAGTAATAAAATAGTCTTAGTCTTGTTTACTGTATGTATCCACATGTTGTGTAAACCTAGGTCTAACTGTTGTGTGGAAGCATGTACGGAGTATCTGCCCCTCTGTGCCAATAAGCTTGTACGTGAATGTAGATGTAAGTATGTCTGGAGGGGGGGTTCAGTATATGTTTAGAGTTATGTAGTGGATCGTCTGTCAGGTGGTGAGGGGAAAGGACTGTTATGGGAAAAAAAAACAATAAAATTGGTATTTTTTATATATTTATGTACTTGTATAAAATTGGTATTTTTTATATATTTATATTTATTTATGTACTTCCTGAGGCCAGCAGAGGGAACAGTCAGTGGTTACATATGTACTAATGGTACAGTTATAAAACTATGACTTTGCAATATACAGGTAGATTGCGATCTTCTTATGAGGCACCCCTCGTGTAGTGAGTAGGTGAGCTGAGAGCTGAGAAGAACCAAGAACTGATTATTATCTCTACATTTCCATTGGTTTGATAAAGAACTGTGACCTGACGTGTCTGATTCTGTTTTTCTTCTCCTCCCAGTAACAGTGTGTCCCTGCAACATCAGGGGCAACTGCAAGGTGGCTGCCAAGCAGTTACAGGGAATGCCAACAATTCAGTCTGCAGTGGGTATTTTACTCGGCACCTTTGCTGTCATAGGTGAGCAGAGAAGCTAAACTACGCTGGTTTAAACAACTGTCAAAATATTTGGGGATTTGACCACAGTGTTGGAAAAGTCTTTTATCTCAACTTGACCTTAAAGTTCCTTTAACGATCACATAAAAGAATAAGTGAACTTTTGAAAACCTTGGGGTTTCACTGGTTTTTGGTGCGTTAATCCAAAGGTTCTGGACTTTTTCATGCCAGTAGAATTAGCTGCAAGATACAGTATGTCAATGCAATATAATAAATGTGTTTAAAAATGTCCACAAAAGGTAGCTACGGAACAAGAAAATATTTATTAAATACTTCTGTTTGTTTGTTTATTTGTTTGTTTCAGGAACTATCCTCGTTGTTGTCTTTATGCGCCTGTCCTATCAGAATCCACAAAAAGAGAGCACGACTCACCAGGAGAGAGTTCCACTCAAAATTTCAGTCTAAAGAAAATGTTTTGTTTGTTCTGGCCAGGCAAATGGAAAAACAGCACCAGCATGGACTTAGGGCAGTAAAACATCTGTATATTTGTTAAGAAAAAAAAAAGTGTCTTTTAGTTTCAGTAAATGCTATGAAAACTGGGATAAGTCAAAATAGTGTTTTTCTAGTGATAGTTTGATTTTAGTTTTTTAAAATATTGATACAAACAGATAGAGGCTACAGTGTGTACTGCAATGTCATATGTAGAGCCTAATTTACACAGCTTTTCATTCATCATTGTTGCATTTCTGATCATCACTGCAGCAATAATTTCTTAATTACCATAAACAATATAATGTAATTAAGATTTCACTGTGCATTTCAGAATAGACGCAGAATAACTGTAAATGCTGGGATCGGTATATTGTATGCAACATTTAAATAAAAAATAATGTTTCAAAGTCAAATGTATTGCATATTTTATATGGGACTCATTATCAGAAACACTTGAATGGCCTGAATCTGACCACCGCCTTAGTGCACGTGCAGTGTACTGCAACCTTTATGAACAACACACCAGACCAAGCAGGGAGCTAGGGCTATATTCAGAACTAAGTGCTGCTATAAATAGCTTCAACAATTGAAGGTCCACTGAATGACACACTATCCCTTTGCATTGTCCAACACAGTCCTCAACACTGGATCACTGAGCCAAAGCCTCGCAGATACAGAAATACATTGGACCTATATATACAGTATATATATATATACTGTATATATCCCAGTCACTACTGAAACTCCATGTTTAATTAAGAGGAAACAAGGAACAGGTCTCATTGTCAGCCTTATGACTCCTGAGAACAGAAGGTTCCTCATGGGGCAGGTTGGCCACTGCTCTTGCCCTACGGCAAGAAAAACCCCAGTTTGGCCCCAGGCAGTAAATGATAGTCTGCTATAGTTACTACAGGATTTTCTACAGGTACTGTAGTTTCCTCCCACAGTTAAAAAACAACAAGAATTACTTTAGTCCAAACCAACTTCAACTTCAACAGCTGGGTTTGGCTTCAGCTCCCCCTCCTCCCTCCTAATAAATTAACTGAGGAATGATTGAGTTTTGAAACATTATGAAAAGAAAAAAAATTACATTGTTAAAAACTTATAATAATAATAATTTGGACCCTTAGGCAGGTTTTGTACGTCCTCCTATAATACAATACATTACTGTAAATCCAGTATTTTTAGAAAAGAGTAAGTTTGGCTACAAATTAGGAATGTCAAACAATTAAAATTCGAAATCTGATTAATTGAAGGGCAGTTGTGGATGAATTACGATAAAACGTTTAAAGAGATACGTCGCACTTCCTGAACGTGAAAGAACGTTTGTTTTTCTTTGTATTGCTGAAACAAAAAGATAAAATAGCAGAAGGTAGATGTAGGTTTTTTCCACTTCTTTTAAAGGACTGTTTATTCAGGACTAATCCAAATGATGGGATTGTTAAGGAACAAAGTCAAGAACAATATACAGAAGTATAACTGATGATTTCTCTTCATGGAGTTGGTGTATTTCAGTCATTTCTGTTCACCTTGATGGTGTCAGACTGTTGACAGTCCATTTGTGTCAGACGTAGACTTACTGTGTCTTTAATGTCAGGACAAAACGTTTCTTTGTGTCTTCTAAGGACTGAAACCCAGTTCCTTTAAATGTTTTTTGAAAAAAGACAATCACATGGAGCTACAGCAAAACCTGTTGCAAAGATTCAATCGTTCTTTTGACTGTTTGGGTTTGGCTAATATTTGATGTTGGGGGTAGAACATCTGAAGGTTCTCTTACAAAATTAAATTAACCTGCTGGACAAAAACAGTGAAAATAAGTGTAAAGATTTTGTAAACATAATTTCAATAAATAGTAGACAAAACACAAACAAAATAAAGTGAAATAATTTCACTACAACAAATGTGTGAATAGATGCTGAAATAAAACTTCCCAGTTTCTGTCTGCAGTGACCAAACCATGTGGTTGATGGCCAATTTACCCTACTGCCTGTTTATTTTAGGTTATTTATAATCAGTGCCAAACGTTTCAATCAAACCTGGGAGTAAAAAGGATGTAGACGGAGACTGGAGGGTGTAGTCAAGGAGATGAGCCTGTGACACAGGGTCAGGCCTTACATTTAGGAGGTAATGATCCTCCGACTTTAGTCCTGTCGAGTTCTAACAGATCGTCTGAGGAGACAGAGGCTTCAGCTGGCTCACTTAGGCCCCAGTGCCTCAGAAAGAGATGGAGTGAGAATTCCAATTACACCAGATGACTTGGAAAATGGGACCAGAGACCGTTCACTTTACACTGAAGGGCACTCTGGGACTGGCCCAGTAAAGCAGTGACCAGTTTCTCCACAAGTGGAAAGATAAATCTGGTTTGTGTTCCTGGCAGACAGGAGCGTTTCTTGCCCACTCTCACTCTAGGCTGGATTTCCCTGCAGCAGCTGCTATTTTAAGGTTACTTTAATTTGAGTTCACTTTCACTTCATTTCCACACCTGGCAGTTTCCACATCTCTGTGGGGAAGTTGCATCAGTTGGCGACTACTCAGGAGTTATAAATACAGTTCAGAACTACTGGTAACAATGCCTACCTGTGATAAGAAAGTGAAGCAGTGCACATTTGGATTTGATTTTCAAACCAATGTAGTTAATTAGTATAGTGATGACATCACAGATATTTCCCTTTAGAGACTTGATTTTAATTCTTAATACATGTTTTAGTATTAAGATAATATTTTTGGCCAATTCAGTGTATTTTGCTGATACTGTCTTCCTTCAGTTGACATCATATAATAAAAGTAAATGTTCGTCTGCACCAAATTCTTTTCTCCTCACAAGTAATTACCGTTCTGCTTCTCATTCCAGGCAATTAAGACATGTGGCTATCAGGGGCTATTAGGGTTTTCCACATGCATGTCAAATTGACTCATTGACAGGAATGGTGTATTGACACAACCCACTGTTGCACTGGGTTGCATCACTGGGACAGATGTGTTTCAGCCGTTCACTTAGGTTTATGAGTCTTTACTGTGGGGTTTTCAAAGATGATGTTTGTGCCAGTAAAGGGACATCGTTAAAAAAACAGAATTACTGTATCGCTCACCTACACTGGCACAAAGTTTAAAAATCATCTTGCCTCTTTTAGAGTTTTGAGGAGCTGTAGTGGTCTACAGGCTTTCCCTCGAGCCAGTGTTTTATCCACCCTGGACTTCTCAAAACAAATTTAATGGTGACGAAATTGATTCTTTTTGACGGTATTCTCCTTGTGTTATAAAAAAAGAGATAATAAAAACATATAAGATCCTACATGTACACATTTGGAATGAATATAAGTAATTACTATCTTAACTCTTCCATCCTAAAAGCTGGATCTTTTATCTGGCATGTCCAAAGTCTAGAACGGGGCTTAAATTAGAAATGCACCAATTACGATCTTGTCTGTGTTCTCACAGAGGCAAGATGAACGTAATAAATAATAATAATAAATAATAAATGACAATTCCTGATCAGGGTCAGGGTTTTTATGTGCAGCAAAACAGCTTTAGAAAAAGAAATAAAAGCACCAGAAAGAGGTCAAGGCTCTGCTTTCTCAGTCGATATTATAATTTGATGTTCTGAACAGGAAAAACAGTTTAAATTGCTTGTCAAATAAAATGGACGTTTGACAGAGTACGTGCGTCACTACTGCTATTTATGGCACTTCATAGTCTGTATTCACTCATACATCGGAGTTGATCGAGACAGGAAGCTGAAAATAAACAATGTGATTTTAGAGACAGCTGGAATGTATGTATTATTAAGGCAAAGCAGACACAAAGGTCATTGCGATTATCTTAACCCCACACTGCTTTTTAAAGTACGTGTACCGGTGAGTGCTTAGACATAGTCAAGGAAAAAAACTTCTAATGGATTTAAGGGTAATTGCTCATCATTTAATTTGTTGTTCATTTTTGTAAATCAATCCTCAGGAAATCTTATGTAAAAGATAACAGTTGAAACAGAGTAAATTTGACTACCTAGACAAAATTG